ACAGCCGTTAGAGCGTGTTCGAACAGCGAACTCGCTGCTGAGAATCCAGTTGATGTCACTCAAACTGTCAAACATTTCAAATAACATCTCTGTCATTCGGCCAACGAAAGCCAAAGTTTATTCACACGTACATCACACAAACGCGATCAGTCAGGGCCTGACAGGAGCAGGGCGGGGCAGCCCAACGCCATGCAGTGTTGTTGTGGACGACTTGTGAGGGTTACACGAGGTGATCGCCAATAAGTTGTCACTAACTGTTGAGAATGGGCCTGCTCCAGCTTGCAGTGCAAGGGTGTGTAACCACAGATTTCAAGACAACTAAATATAAATTAATTTCAGTTGATGGCCCACGACAAACTGAACTATTTGGAGCGGCATTTTGTTTGCAGAAAACACAACGATATGGCCACTTAAAACTAATGATGACATTTTACAGCATTTCTGGTTAAACAAATCATCCATCCAAAAAAACAGTCATCCACTTCCAACACTTTTCTGCCCAGCCACATTTTGCCATTGCAGCCCAACTTGCCATAACCATTCTGTGATTTTACCCCAAGATCAGGCAATTTATTAATATATTATCTAGCACAAGTGAATATAGTCTGTATGTCTTTGTGTAGGATGGTGGTGGTCAGTGGTCTGTTGAGGATTAAACGTAATCTCTTCGTCTTCTACAGACCAGTATGGGTTTCTCATCTAAAAGGCTACATGGCACAAGAATCTGCCGGTCAGCTTTAGTCAAAGGGTTTTTTTTGGCTTCATCTTTGACCATGGGAAAGAACAACAGCCGAAAAGTACTTGGCTCACTTGTAACGCCTTTGATTTGAAATTCACTTTGAATCAGTTCCCTTTTCCATGTTTTTGATGGCAATGTAGATTTTTTGCTTAAGTCCAGACTCTGAAACTACTATTAGTATCCACTCCCAAGCTTGCTCAATCTTCCAGTTGAAGTCCATGTAATTAAGACCTGCCTGTCCCTGTCGCTCATGCTACCTCTCTGTCTGTTACTCTCTCTCTTGCTCTCACTCTCCCCCTCTCTGTCTCCCAGTCCCACTAATACTAAACACACTTAGTATTACCATCTTTTTTTAGGCAATGGACTAAACGATAAATATAATTGCAGGGACTGGCTCTCAAGCCTTGGAAGTATGCTGACACACGCATATTAGACACAGATCATTCTTACTCTGTCTCTCGCTTGATGTTTGCTTTTACCCCAAAATCCTCATGAACCTGTACAGTATGTGAGAGAATGGAGAGAATTTTAATTTAAAAGTGGGCACGCATTCCTTCAGCAGACTTCTAGACGTGGCCACCGTCCCTTTTTCCTTCAGTCTCCTCCAGGTTTCCCTTCCCATCTCCAATTCTCTGTCCACATAAACAGTCATACCACAACTGCTCTCAATGAGGTGATCCTGTTACACACAAAGGTTATGAGTTATAATCCCGTTTCACTAGTTTGACAGCAGTATCCGACCGAATACACACGCACGGACGTGTGCACAGGCGCACTTAGGCAACCGCTCATAGGATTGCAGAACTCATATCCCATCCCTGGTGACCACATTTCACCTTTTTATATTTCATAATCAACTGTTTCCACATAAAACTTATATGTATCTCGACAGTAGCTCTTTCTGCCTCGTGTCTCTTTCAAGTCCCTTTTAGAAGGTGATTGGTTTCTCCTGGCAGTGGAGGTTTTAGTGTGACAAGGAAGCACTCAAAGACTTGCAGGAATTCAGCCTGGGATGTTCTCAAAACCGCCCCATCATCCCATAACCGAAGAATGCTTTTGAAATGAAAGAGAGGAGACTGTTGCTGGGGTGAGAGAAGAACAAGCAAATATTTTATGATTTTGGATTTTATTCAAAGCCTTTTGGGAATGGCTGATTTGTCTTTGGATTCCTGGGTAATATCAATGCAAAGGCTGCCATCAAATTTTTCATCTCCTAAAACCTGCAGCCCCCCTACAGGCTCAGTGTCCCTGTCCGAGTTCAGTCAAACTTCCTCTGTTTGTTTGACCTGGCATGTGCAGTTGCAAACCTCAATCTGAGGTTGCAACACTCCCACACTATTGTATTCCCCTCATTTTTCTTTGTTTTGATTCAGTCATTGTGTTGTTAGTTGATATGAAGTGAAATTTGAATTCCCTGAAATGTCAGATTTCTGTGTCTGACCCTCTGCACTAAAGCGTCATGGCTTCAATTTAAAACCTCCCAATGATAAATATTTAGGAAGAAATACATAATCAAATCGACTCCCTTAACTCAATTTACTGTCCATGTGACTGCAGGAACAGGTCCTATAGAAAAACTCACCAGCGTGCTCATGTGAATCATATTATGTGAAAGTTCAATCAATATTCATGAACATGAGCTACTCCCTTAACAGAGACGTGAGTCACAAACTTGTGATGTGATCGATTATAAAGTCTGGAGCTGCTTCATAAACAGTGGTTGTGTCATAGATTCCATAATAACCTGATGTTTAGTATGCTGGATCAGTATCTGACATTTTACCGTACGTCAGAAACTTCAGTATGACACCTACAGCATAGAACATCATTTGTATAATATATCCATGAAAAATATTGCAGTGCAATCAGTGGACACCATGCCGTCAGAAGTATCCCAGAATGCAATGGGGGATATCATGAATATGCACTCATTGAAACGCAGAGCTGGTCCTCGGTGCAGCAAGTCAGTCGATCAAAAAGCAGGTGGGCGAGAGAATATTCACTGCACATTGTGGATTCAACAGTACCAGTCAAAAGTTTGCAATTGAACTTTCTCATTCAATTGAATGTATACATTGGAACACGCATAATAAGAAGAATATGTGTGGCTTCCTTTAGCTCTTAGGCAAGTTAGACATGTGCTTCCTCCCTGAGCTGTTGGAATACTACAATTTATCGTGTCTTACTTTTGGAATATTGAGTTGAAATTTAAAGAAATAACAGAGAGACTTCAGCCGTTTTGTAGTTCTGCATTTAGCCGAAAAAGCTGCATTGGACCGGAGCCAAGTAACCATTCTACAACCGCGTGTGTGGTTTCCACAGCGATGACGCCCTAATTGATTCCTGCTCTAATTAACAGGCTTTAGGGACAGCTGGGCCAAGCAGCATTGTGTTAAACGTCCCCCGAACGGCCCGGTTATTAGCTCAACACCCAAACGGTTATCTGGATGGTGTTCGTACACACATCGCGCTGTTGAGCAGAGCATTTTCTTACTTTACATTTTCTTACATAATGCACGAAGTAGGGATTTTGAATGTGTCCCCTAATGTGTCCCCAAACCTCTATCATGGATCACATTCCAGCCCAAGAGGTTGTCATGCCAAACCACAACTATAACTTCATATAATATTGTTCTCATTCCTTCTAAGTAAACCTCTTGTACTTAAATGTCCATTTATGAAATGTCCAGCTACTGTCAATGGCTTTCTTTTTTTCTCCTTTTTTTTGCAGTGCATAATATGTTTCTCTCTAGAAGAGATGTTTTAGCCCTTCCATTAAAGGCCCCTCTCCACTGACATGAACCCCAGCGGTGTGGTATGGTTTGTCTCACATTACTGTAGCACTCGTTTCACTCACTTCGGCCCGAGTGAGAGAGGGGCCACTTTCCCATTAAGTAAAACTGGAATATGCGACTGATGTGTTACAATATCAAAAGCTGGTGTGAGAATCCTTCTGGTCTCCTCTTCCACTCTCTCACTAGCAGACACTGTTTCACGCATAAAGAATACCAAACTTGGAAACAATATTATCAACAACTTGTTCCTATGAGAACAGGACTCATCATGTTGGACCAGTGACAATCGGACATTCATACTGGCCACGTCTTGTTTAAGAACCATAACTTATAGTTTTGTGGCATCAGTTTACGTATATTGATCATGAAATGTTTCTTTTGGGGTATTGAAGGCCCAGTAGACAATTACTTGAATGTCACCTTTGCTGTCAGATGTGTTGAGTGACAGGCAGAATCACGTGTCAGGGGAAAGGATGTTACTTATCCCTCAACACCTCAACCCCCCCTCCCCCCTCAACATGTCTTCAGTGGTTGCTGCTGCCATATGAAGGTCAGCGGTGTACCAGGATTGATCTTGTCGGCTTTCTCATGAATATTTAATACTGTGTGTGTGTTTGTTTGTTCTTGCATGCATGCATGTACAACATAAATCCTGGACAGAATGAGCAAACTGCATTCAGCTTTATGGTTCCGCATATTCCACAAGTCTGGTATTCGCGGCCCTTTCTTACCCTCGTACTGCGGATCAGGATCATTTGTTGTTGAGTGACGACAGCTTCTTGTCAGACATGGTGCGATGGAACAAAGACCACCTTGACAGCAGGAAAGACCAGCAGGCGGTTCAATTAGTCGGCCTCATGCTGGGGCGAGGCAAACATCATAAGGAGATGTGCTTCACGCTGCAGGCTCAGAAAGTCTTCATGCGGAGCAGTGTTATAGTACGATATGCTTCTATAGGTCCAGGTTTTTATTACGGTGAAATACAGTGAATGTAAATGTCCTTATTGCCATACAATTAAACCAAACAGTATTGTCCAATTGATCCGTTTCCCCTGTAAACCAACAAGTAGCGGGTGAAAACTCTTTGGCATCCTTGTAATCATGAGCTTGTAATTAAATGCAACGCGTCATCTTACCACCCTGGGGCCGGACTGTACAGCGCTCCAATCTGCTCTGCTGTTCCCAGCAGATGCTCTGTATCATCTGTTGAGCCCCTGCTGACATTGACAGCGATGGATACGTCGGAGCAGGACACTCATACATGCATACCGAGCTCCAATATTCCCCTGGGAAACAGTCGACCGCCTACTGGTTGCTGGATCTTTACGTGTTGTGCAACTGTCCAACAATAACTGCGCAACAATAACTGAAGAAGTGTCGAGGACCGGTGTTGTAAACATAGCAAACTTAACATTCCATCTAAACCTGTGCCTGATAGACCTCATCTTGCTGTGTTTGCTGTTCAGGAGACCCAGGACATGTTTCCACAACTGGGCCAGGTGGAGGCCTGGGATGAGCTCGGTAGTGGGGAAACGGAGGAGGGCAGCACCACAGACTGTGATGACGAAGATGGATGTCAAGCCTCAGGAGACGGTCAAGACCAGACCTGTAAGTAAGACGTGCTCACGTCCACATGCACAAAAAACCTGCATATTCTATTCATTTTTGTAATTTGTCGGCAAAAGTAACGTGTGCTCCTCTCAGCTCATGGGGGGCTCGCTCATTTTATCATGATGTCAACATGATTTATCAACTCTTTGTTATTATTTGAATTGTGTTCTACCTTTACCTTCACTTTACTATGTGCGATGTCACCCGGGACAGATCTCCTTTCTTTATTTTCTTTTGCTCAGTGAGCACTGAACTGTCATGAAACTCCTACACGGCAAGGAAAGTATGCTTCAAAAACATACAGTGTTTTCTCACACTGCTGTCCTCGCCCACCTTGTTTCCTTTGAGGCTACAGAAAAGGTTGTGGCACATAAAGGTTGCTAAGATCCTGAGGAGAAAAAAAGCCAGTTTAGTTCACACACTCAAAACCACACCAGCCTTCTATCTTTTGTAAGGACACATATTGGAATAAGGCGGTTCCTAGCCCCCTACCTTGACCTTTAACCATCACAATGTAATGCCTGACACTATATCCTTTACATAAACCCACAAGTAACTCTTTTTGGGCTCTGTCCCAAAGTGAGGACCGACCCACATGACCTCACTCTGGGTGTAGGACTCAAATTGGACTTCTCAGAGATAGCTGTTCAAGTATACGCACACACACACACACACACACACACACACACACATTGGTTGGGCATGCATCGGCTATAATGAGAATTTATCATCATTTTGCTTTTTTACACCTACAAAGTTAAACTAAGTTGTGGGCTGTGAAGCATTTTTCTGACTAGCATGGAGGGAGTAGGAACATGGAGGAGCTAATAAGCGCTTATACTTGCATAGACAAGCAGCAGGTGGCCAGTTCTTTTACCATCAAGCAGACAGGAAGCCACCTTAACGACTGACCCGGTGATAAGATCCTATCCAGAAATGGCAGATTATTTATTGCTTATTCAGGATTCTCTGGCCATATAACGTGTAACTAAATTCCTTTACAGGTGCCTTTTGATAATTACCCAATATAAAATAATTGGCCTAAGGGTCATCACAACGACGATATTCGGAATATGCCTTATGCAGTTTTGCTTGACTATTCGCAGCTAATTTAAATGCTGTCAATTTTAAAACAGAAAACCCAGGCAGTGCAAATTATTCAAACAGTTTTGGCACCACTAACTACATTCTTATTATACGCCACTGCAATTCACAAGTGCAAAACAAGAACACAAGACAGGGCTCTCGGTCAGGATATCTTAACACTTCAGGTCTCGATTTACCAAAGGGCAGCAAGAAGGCTATCCGTGCCAAAATGCAGCTAATACAGCAATCAATAGCCATTATATTCCTTGTTCTACACAGCTCTGAACAGGTTATTTCTGCCCTGCTCCTTGTTGTGATGTGGATAAAACATACCAGCCTTTCTTAGAGCCCAGACAGCAGCACCAGTATCCCAACAGCAGGGGATAATCAATCGGACCGCTGTGTGAGATTTACAGAAAAGAACCCATTAGTCTTTGCTGCAAGTATAAATCCATATCCTGGTGAGCCCAGTTGCCTGTACGACTGCAAAAGAATATTTGTCATTCAGCATCAGAATCATGCTTGTTGGCAAAGTGCAATTTGCCTACTGGGATCTTTAAAGACAAATTAGTGCGTTGGCCTTAGTATTAGTCAGCCACTTCCCTGAAATCTGATGCTCAGAGCTGGGAGACAATTGTCTTCTTCTGCATGGTACACTGCTGGCCTATAGCTGACTTACACAAGCCAGGACTGGCTTTTTTAACTCGGCTATGGGAATATCCAAAGCAGTCTGTTAGATAAAAGTTATACTAATCATTTGCATGCTTTATTTACACACCTTGTTAATCTTAAATGTCTCTCATTCTCTTATGACTTGGTTAAACCGTTATAAACATCAACTGTAACTTCAGAGAGGCCTTATAGGGTCAAGAGAAATGTTTTACCCCCCCGACACCCTCGGTCGGTGTACTTGTTTCCTCCGGTTTAGCAGTGGCAGAGCTCCCAAGGCCCTGATTAAAAGGGGTCACCCACCGTAGTGCTAATAGTGACTTCCTTACCAAGCTAATGAACGGAGCTAATCAGAAGAGAACAGACTCCCTGACTCTCTATCATCACTCAGATGAGATGGAACTTGTGCCTCTCTTGCTTAGGAGACGGGTTGCATGCGCGTAGCCTCCTGCATACTGACAGCATGCTTAAGAATGCAGATGCAGAGTCTTCTACGTACGCACAGCGCCTAAGTAGGCAACCATATGAAAAATGAGCTCTATGTTAATATTTGACCCTGTCCGGCTCAATAACAAAATGTGCAAAAACCTCCAGACGAGGGTTATAAAAGTCCTTATTTTCCAAGTACTCTAATGAGCTCTCTGCTTTTGAAAGAAAGTTCATTCTGATTGCATGATGTCATGCCTGTTTGATCATGGTTCAAATCCTGCTCCTCTAGCCTGGAGACATGTTAGTGTACTCGGTGCCAACACAACAAGGCCTAGTCATGTACGAACTGCCATCACCACAGCCATGAACAGGAGAATAAATCTGTGAATATTCAATGAACCATATCATCCGTCTTTCCCTGCAGCAATGAGAGCCTCTTCTGTGGTGCATTTTGTGGCGTGATTATGGCTTATTAACTCTATTAGCCCGGGAACACTTCAGGCTGCTCCTTCCAAAGGAGTTATTCATTCGCAGATAGCTCATTAACGTATTAATCTGTAAAAGACCCACAGTGGCTCTTTAGACCACTATTTCTCCATTAGGAAGAGAGACGAGACTCAAAATGTCTCTGCATCAAAAGGAAGATCAGTACTTTATTTGTCTGCCTGCGTCGGTGAGCTCAGCAGCCTTATCCGAGGATCTGGCACAGTAGGCAAAGTCTTTTCTGTTCTAGCCTTTTGTGCGGATCTGGGAAAACCGACTGAAGAGGAGACTTTTTTTTTTTTTTCTGCTAATGAAAGTGCAATAAAAGTTTGCTTTTTGTCTTTGTGAAACCTTTTAGGAGCAGGAAAGAGTTTAGAATGGAACATGGGAGATTTAAAAGCATTCCCAGTGCTGTTAGTGCTGCTGTTGAAGCAATGTGCTTGACAAAGGTGTGTGGGGTCATAAACCAATTTAAGAGGAGGAAGATAAGTAAGTGCATGGCTAAACACTTCCCGTGGTTGAGCTGGAGGGATGTGCTCCGAGAAGTGTGAAGTCACGAAAGCACAATTTTCTCTTGGTAACAAACACCATCTGTTATGCACACTTGTGAGCTCATGAAGAAAAACAAAGACGCCGCTGGCATTGCTCACATACGTTTCACTCCAGTGGCTAAACCTCTCTTCATTATCATGAAGCCACTAGCAATGATTGTTGTGCCTTTCCATCCTGTTAAAAGAACATACGCGTCTAGATATGACAAGATGAAATGATTAACCATTCCATCAGTGTTCTTCTGTAATACCAAAGCAGAAGGACAAAATATATTAACTTTTCTTTTCTCTCCTTGCATTGCCGAAGGAAACAGCTAGCTCTAAGTGTGCGTGTGTGTGTGTGTGTATGTGTGTGTGTTTGTAAACCTGACCCCAAGGGACAGGGGTCAAGTACACAGAACTATTTTTTAGATTCACAGCTGCTAGTTTTGTGGAATTTTTTAGTAATGCAGATTGGGAATTTTTTCTCGCCTCGCTCTATGCAGATGCACGGACCATACGAATGCATCCATTCAAAGATAATTAAAGAGGTGGGTTTGTATGGCATTAGAAGGCTACGATCAGCAATTTTGGACATTAAGGCTGAAGGGTACCAGAGCAAAATCTGCTCAGCCCTTCTATCAATAACCAGTCTAATATGCAGTTTATATTCTGCCATGCACAGTTTCGTAAAACAATTCTGTAGAAATTTCTTTTTTTTCCAATTGGCTGTTCAAAAGACTGCATAGAATGTATGTATGCGGTCTATATAGAATGACCTTGAACCTGATCTCAACTTTAACTTGTAGGCTCCATGATGTTCATTGGTTGTTGGTGTTCTTGCACCTGAATATCAAAGGCATGGCGAGAACTTATTTCCAAAGCCGAAAAGGCTATAAAAGGTGTGCGGCAGCTGTTCACCCGGGCAGGGGAAGAACATTCCTGAAGTCAACGACTGCTCGGGCAGGATATAGTCAACATTCACCAGTGTTAGGCAGGATCACACTGGATCGATCCCACAGCCCGCTGTTGCCCTGCAAACAGCCCGCACCCCTATTTTGTGTTAGAAAACTTGCGTGATGGAGAGACGAGTTGAGACGAAGGGTAATGTGCAGCGAATTGGGGTCTGAGAGGGGACAAGAGGCCAGAGGTAGGGGGGGGAAAGAAAATGTTTGAGCCAATAACAACAGTGGAGGGGTAATACCATTGAGCATTGTGATGTGATTATACAGTACAAGATGTAACAGAGGCACATGTTTATGGCTTTGGTGCATTAGGACGATTGCAACATACAAGCCTATGATTCAATCTACCGTGACAAACGGTTAAGTTAAAATGGAGGGTGGAGGATTTGGTTCTTGTGTGCCCTTCCAGGTTGGGTAAAGCCAATCCAAACCACTTGATCATTCAATCCGAGGTCCTGGACTGAACCTGGACTGAGGCTGGTCCCCTCGTGACTGGCGTGCGTAGAGGCCGGCTGTCCGGCAGATGTATTGGCTTTGTCCCGGTGCGGAAATTACCAGTATGACTGCCATTTCCCTCAGCCTTTCATCTGGAGCTCAAGGAGCCGAGAGAGCGCTCGGAAAGGCAGCGTAGGGTTGGAGAAGAAGGAACACGAGGATCAGAGCGGCTTTGCTGGATGAGAAGATTGTATGGTTTGCGGACGAATGGGGGAGTGATCACATTTTCACTCAAATATGCGGAGTCATCTATTTCCTTCATGTGATGTTGTGACATTGAGTAATTTTCTATACGCATATCTTGACAGAATCTGTGAATGAAGTGTCATTATTAGGTTCA